CGTAGCATGATGAGCGAAAGCTCAGCTTCGCACAAATGAACAGACAAAAGTCCAAGATAACCCTCCTGCGACATCAGGTCAGACGCCGAAAATTATCACAACTATGACAAAGGAAGCATAATCGGTTAAGTGATTTAAGAACTTCCTTTAACTTTGAACAACTTACGAAAATGCAGCTGGACCAACTCTGATAGAATCAACTTCAAGATCCAATATATCCATTTTCTTGAGATTTTGTTATTGCTTCTAGCAAAATTGGGACTGGGAAGTGTAGTTTGGTACTGCAAAAAAAGAGCTATGCCCATTTTGGCCTAACAAAGTTCCATGCGGTCATATCCACTAGCCCGGTTCGGATGAGTGCAAGTCTTCATGTCGCAGATCCCGAAGGTAGGGACAATCCGGAGAGCGTAGAGTGAAAAGCTGGATTTTGAAGAGGTCACTAAAGGTTTTAATGTGAATGGACCCTTTATTTTGTATGAAAAGTTGTAACTGTTGATTTGAGCGAAAAATTCCTCAGCGAACTGTCCTACGACTTGAATGTTTGATAAGAAATGATAGATCTAATGACATGCAGGCTGAAGAGAATTCGTGTGAATAGCATAATCAAAGGAATAGCCAAATGAAGAGGCTGGCAGATACGTTAATCAACTCACTAGTCTTTTGGTTGGATAGTCTTGCTAGTGATCCGGGCTGATTCAGTTCGGCCGTGTAGACGGTCATCGTGAACTCGTAAAGCTGACACGAAACGAGGCCGACAACTGCATAATAGGTGGTCGGAGTGTAGACCGAGATGCCCCTTACGAAGGCTGAGGTGGGTGCTGGCGAAACGGTGAACACGAAACGCAGCTTTGTGGAGCCACTAGGTAGGGCTGGAGGCGTCCAGGAGAGCAGGAGGCTAGTAGAGGTGGTAGAGACGGCAGTCAGATTGGTTACCTTGCCTGCATTCGCGAGACGGACGAAAATGGAAGAGTGGCATAAATAAGATAAGGATAAAAGAGTATTGATGATGCGTCTGCGAGATAAATATTAGCAATATCTCATTTGCTGGCGAATGACCGAATAATGGGTTGAGGCTCTTTTTCGCCATGTAGATAGATTATGACCCACATACGAGTCATAAAAAAGAGTATTATATCACTTAATAACAAGCCTTTTCCCCCAAGCTTGGTGCTCAAATGAGGCAGATACATACAAACATGATGCAAGACAGAAATCCAATAATGGTGTGAAGACTAGTGTAAAGGCCCATAGACTTTAATTTGTCGGATGGATGTGAAGAAAGAGACACGTAACAGCACTTAAAGTATGATTGCCTATTGACACATTGGCGGCTTAGGCAAGTTGATCTGATTATGACGAGATGCCATCGAACAGACAAAATGGTGCAATCCATTGGTAAACCCAGACATACGTTCTACTTATCGTAGAAATGTCAATCGTCAGTGCCGGAAGCACTAACCGACAGAAGATGAAGCATCACTTTTGGATGAGATTCACTAATAGTTTTAGCTCTAGAACGATAATAGCATAAAGTAACCAATAAGATAAAGTGACAGCGAATGAAGTGAATCGGATCTACTCCCTGGGACCTCGAAATTTCTCAATTTGCTGAGTAAA